CCGTTCTCCTTGCTACAGGCGATATGAATGGATGTTATGTAACACCGTTCTCCTTGCTACAGGCGATATGAATGGATGTTATGTAACACTAGGGAGATAAGGGTCCGCGAGGTACCCAGTCCATCTGTGGAGCAGTGTAATTGTCATAGTGTTTCAGATACAGCTGATCATCACGTGATGAAGGGGAGCTTATGTCTCTGTGTCCTCCGGACAACTCATTCTTCTTCATTAATGCTGGCAGTCGGTGCTAATGAAGCCTCGACGCTCAGTCGTGTAGAAAGTACATCAATCCAGCTGCAGTGGTCGGCGGATGATAAACCACTTCGTCCTCGCTTCTCACAAGGTCAATCTGTCATTATCATACCACCAAGTCAGAATGATGAGATCTGGTTAGTTCACGTGATCATGATAAAATACGCAGTGAAATACATTTTACAGCGAGAGAATAAATCCCTTGTACCCCGCCACGAAGTAAACAGGCTGCACGTAGATATATTCGCGGGAGAATAAATCCTTTATACCCAGCTTGGAAGCAAAAGGTCGCACCCTATTTCTAGAGACAATGAAAGTTACATGACACAGTACAACTTAACCTCAGCTCAGTCGAACAGCTGTTTTTTAGCAATTTTCAATCTGTTTTAATTCTTTTACAACGTCATAGCAAAACATGTGAGTAAGATAAATTCGTTGCAGCAGTATCACGAAGGATACATGGGGTTTTATGCATCCCTCTTTAGAGATAATACCACTCGCCTCCTGCTTGTTGTATAAAACCTAACGCGGGACGCACGGAACCCCGCGTGATAATGCTACAACTTATATTATCAGCATATTGCTGAGTGCGGCGTTAAACAACAAACAAACAACAACAATATTATTAGCCCTGACGCAGGAGGATGTGCTGATTAGTGTGTTGATGGAAAGATGATACGTGGTTTAGTTTGACCTGTAGCTCATGTGGAAGGGATACTGTCTGTGCTGTATAACAACATGGACGCTTGTTGCACTCGTGGGTTATCTCTCGCAGCGCACACAAACAACGCTGCATCAGATGGTCCGGTCTTAAAACACAGAATTCTCAAATATGTTCCCATCAGTCTGGTACTGATAAATGAAAATTGTATTTGGTCCTGATGTATAGCCCTGTTCCTGCGGTGAGGTAGACCTGTGCGGGCAAGTTGGCCGAATCAGGATCACCATGAGCAGAGCGGGAAGTTTAGCTTGTTTGTTTGTGTGTTGTTTCACGCCGCACTCAGCAATATTCCACCTATATGACCACACCCTGTATATAATTTAGGATGGACCAGATGACCCAGTGACTGATTTGTGAACAACGTTCTACGATTGATCTACCCGATCAATTTGGTCAGCGCTTACCACCGACCTTCGTTACTGGAGGATCGCCAAGGGGCGAGCGGGAAGAAATGCCAAAATGACAGGAGGCACATTCGCTTGGATATGACGTAGGAAAAAGGCACCAATGTACCACGTGACACTTCTGTTAAAGAACACGAATAGAAACAGATGAGAAACTATATTAGACCAGTTGACAGTGCACGTGCTTTCAAATCCTTCATTCGACCGAAATCTGCACGTTGAAATCCATGTTGTTTATGTACCGGATGTATAGTTCGTTACAGGATTTTGATTGGACTTTGCAGTGACTCGTTAGTCCAGCCAATATGTAACTCCGGAATTTCAGCCTAGTTCGGCGAGGGCGGAAACTGGACATTTCTAATCGGTTAACTCCCTTGGCTGGGGAGGATGTATCTAAGATAATTATTAACTTTGACAATGATGACAATTTTCTGAGATAAAAGCTAATGCATCGTACATGTATTCGTTTATTTATTTATTTACTTATTTACTGTGTGTTTGTGTGGGTGTGGGTGTGCCTGCGGGCGTGCGTGCATGCGGGCGTGTGTGTCTGTGTGCGTGCGTGCATGCATTTACATGAACACAATTACGTGGGTAATCAAAGCAGGAACGTTTATGTGCCACAAGAGGGCAACACATTATACCTTGGTTTCAGGAATTCCGTCCTGTTGTGAGGCCATGTATGACCCGTCACCATGAAATCCTATAGTGACGCCATGCATCAACGGTCATAATGAAGTTCTATAGTGAGGCCATGCATCACCGGTTACTATGACGTCCTTTAGTGAGGCCATGCATGACTGTTTACCATGAAGTCCTATAGTGAGGCCATGCATCACCGGTTACCATGAAGTCCTTTAGTGAGGCCATGCATGACTGTTTACCATGAAGTTCTATAGTGAGGCCATGCATCACCGGTTACTATGAAGTCCTTCATTGAGGCCATGCATCACCTGTTACTATGAAGTCCTTTATTGAGGCCATGCATCACCAGTTACTATGAAGTCCTATAGTGAGGCCATGCATCACCGGTTACTATGAAGTCCTATAGTGAGGCCATGCATGACTGTTTACCATGAAGCCCTATAGTGAGGCCATGCACCACCGGTCACCATGAAGTCCTTTAGTGAGGCCATGCATGATTGTTTACCATGAAGACCTATAGTGAGGCCATGCATCACCGGTTTTCATGAAGTCCTATAGTGAGGCCATGCATTACTGTTTACCATGAAGCCCTATAGTGAGGCCATGCACCACCGGTCACCATGAACTCCTTTAGTGAGGCCATGCATGATTGTTTACCATGAAGTCCTTTAGTGAGGCCATGCATCACCGGTCACCATGAAGTCCTATAGTGAGGCCATGCATCACCGGTTACTATGAAGTCCTATAGTGAGGCCATGCATCACCGGTTACTATGAAGTCCTATATCAAGGCCATGGATGATTATTCACCATGAAGTCCTTTCGTGAGGCCATGCATGATTGTTCACCATGAAGTCCTATATTGAGGCCATGCATCACCGGTTACCATGAAGTCCTATAGTAAGGCCATGCATCACCGGTTATCATGAAGTCCTATAGTGAGGCCATGCATCACCGGTCACCATGAAGTCCTATAGTGAGGCCATGCATCACCGGTTACCACAAAGTCCTATAGTGAGGCCATGCATCACCGGTCACCATGAAGTCCTATAGTGAGGCCATGCATCACCAGTTACCATGAAGTCCTATAGTGAGGCCATGCATGATTGTTCACCATGAAGTCCTATAGTGAGGCCATGCATGATTGTTCACCATGAAATCCTTTAGTGAGGCCATGCATCACCGGTTACTATGAAGTCCTATAGTGAGGTCATGCATCACCGTCACCATGAAGTCCTATAGTGAGGCCATGCATTACCGGTTACTGTGAAGTCCTTTAGTGAGGCCATGCATGATTGTTCACCATGAAGTCCTATAGTGAGGCCATGCATCACCCGTTACTATGAAGTCCTATAGTGAGGCCATGCATCACCGGTTACTATGAAGTCCTATAGTGAGGCCATGCATCACCGGTTACTATGAAGTCCTATAGTGAGGCCATGTATCACCGGTTACCATGAAGTCCTATAGTGAGGCCATGCATCACTGTCACCATGAAATCCTTTAGTGAGGCCATGCATCACCGGTTACTATGAAGTCCTATAGTGAGGCCATGCATCACTGTCACCATGAAATCCTTTAGTGAGGCCATGCATCACCGGTTACCATAAAGTCGTAAAGTGAGGCCATGCATCACCGTCACCATGAAGTCCTATAGTGAGGCCATGCATTACCGGTTACCGTGAAGTCCTATAGTGAGGCCATGCATGATTGTTCACCATGAAGTCCTATAGTGAGGCCATGCATCACCCGTTACTATGAAGTCCTATAGTGAGGCCATGCATCACCGGTTACCATGAAGTCCTATATTGAGGCCATGCATCACCAGTTACCATGAAGTCCTATAGTGAGGCCATGCATCACTGTCACCATGAAATCCTTTAGTGAGGCCATGCATCACCGGTTACTATGAAGTCCTATAGTGAGACCATGCATCACCGGTTACCATAAAGTCGTAAAGTGAGGCCATGCATTACCGTCACCATGAAGTCCTATAGTGAGGCCATGCATTACCGGTTACCGTGAAGTCCTATAGTGAGGCCATGCATGATTGTTCACCATGAAGTCCTATAGTGAGGCCATGCATCACCCGTTACTATGAAGTCCTATAGTGAGGCCATGCATCACCGGTTACCATGAAGTCCTATATTGAGGCCATGCATCACCAGTTACCATGAAGTCCTTCAGTGAGGCCATGCATCACCGGTTACCATGAAGTCCTATAGTGAGGCCATGCATGATTGTTCACCATGAAGTCCTATAGTGGGGCCATGCATCACCGGTCATCATGAAGTCCTATAGTGAGGCCATGCATCACCAGTTACTATGAAGTCCTATAGTGAGGCCATGCATCACCGGTTACCATGAAGTCCTTTAGTGAGGCCATGCATGATTGTTTACCATAAAGTCCTATAGTGAGGCCATGTATCACCGGTCACCATGAAGTCCTTTAGTGAGGCCATGCATGATTGTTTACCATGAAGTCCTATAGTGAGGCCATGCATCACCGGTTACCATGAAGTCCTATAGTGTCACCATGCATCACCGGTTACCATGAAGTCCTATAGTGAGGCCATGCATCACCGGTCACCATGAAGTCCTTTACAGAGGCCATGCATCACCGGTTACCATGAAGTCCTATAGTGAGGTCATGCATCACCGGTCACCATGGGATCAGTAGGACTTCATGAGTCAATATAAGACACCAGGACACCGAGGTCAACACAACCAGACACCAAGGTCAACACAAACTACTGGTGATGTACTTCCACACGGACACTGCGGACCGACAGAAGGCACAGGGGACACTCTACGATACAACATAATCACAAGAACCAGAACAGGGCACGGGAGATACAATCGCATGTCAGAAATTGTCACGAGTGCTATCATATACCTCGACGAGACACTTTGGGCCAGTCAGACACTGGTAATACAATACCGTGATAGCCAGTAGCCAGAAAGAACCTCATCACCTACCTTACACGTTGTCCTACTGTCGTAGAACTTCCAGCTCATGGTATTAGGTCTACATCCGGGCCACACAGTGGCTGTGACATGTTTCCGGTTCGAGTTCTTGGAACTGTGGATATATATCTCTACTGTCTTTATTCGACGTCTGATTTAGATACGTTGTAACCCATACCTAGGATGGGCTATTGTCAGCAGCCTCCCTTTATATCCGGGACATTTCCTTCATCACTTTGGTATGAGTACTTACAGACACATAATAACTTGCTATTGGGGACTGAGATCTATACCATCCTCCGTGTGTGCTCACCGCCAACAGCAAGACATCCGTCTATACCACCCTCCGTGTGTGCTCACCGCCAACAGCAAGACATCCGTCTATACCACCCTCCGTGTGTGCTCACCGCCAACAGCAAGACATCCGTCTATACCACCCTCCGTGTGTGCTCACCGCCAACAGCAAGACTTCCGTCTATACCATCCTCCGTGTGTGCTCACCGCCAACAGCAAGACACCCGTCTATCCCATCCTCCGTGTGTTCTCACCGCCAACAGCAAGACATCCGTCTATACCATCCTCCGTGTGTGCTCACCGCCAACAGCAACACATCCGTCTATAACATCATCAATCTGTTCTCTTGTCTATCACAACTTCTAAGGACACAGGGCTTTTCAGTCCAAACGATGTCTATAAAAGAGGCGGGTAAAATATTCTCCCTCTCTGGCAACCATGCTTTGTAATTCCACCCATTTTTGCGATTTGGACACGAGAGTGCTATTGTGTGTCGTTAGTGGCAACATCCGCAGGGCCAGTGTAGATCCGGATTCGTCGTATTGGGTCAGAAATCATTGGCCATTGACGTCTCTTGTGGCCACTGTAGCCATACAATCCACTGACTGTTCTGTAAGGGTTCCGATTACCGATCAGTGGTATCAAGTCGCCCCAACTCTGCCCCCATCACACGCCATATGTTGGCATTGTTTGCCCTCCTCAGAAACTGTCAGTGGTTGGCCCGATGAGCTACTGGCTAACAGATATCTCTTTACTGGCTCGTTCAGCCTTCAGCGGTGAGTGAGAGCCCCTGCTTCCTCTCCGTAATGAAGACAGAAAACCTTTTTCTTCTATGTTGAACTGGTGGCATACTGGCCCTTATATTGATCAGAGAGGCTGATCAATCAGCTGTCGATGTTGATTAAAAACCTATGGGCATCCGTGTTGCCCAAATATCTGCCTCTGGCGACCTCGCCGCCTGCTAAACCAGTGTTATTGAGTTACGTGAACTTCGCCAATTCTCTTACCGGCTTCCGCCGCCTCGCTAGCTATTGCTTGTGACGTGTCCCGTCGCTTAAGCGTAAAATTGTAAATTATTGAGTACAGACGCAAATGTCATGGAAACTTGGCGATATTGAATGCCTGCAGCATTTGGTTGTTAATGTTAAGCAAGCCACAGTCCGTTCTGCCATCCTTACACAGTCACCGTATTCACCTATTAACAATGATGAACTGTCTTCTCACCCCGACCCCTTACATTTCAATATGTTGCGGCAGTCAGCCCCACCAGACAGCGCCGGATCATCCATCACGAGATTGAGTCCTGTATGTCCGCGATACTGACACTGGTTCCCCCGTAGTTTGTTTCTGTCAAGGGTCCGCCAGATCATTTGTGGTGAGAATTCAAAATTTCCATTCCATATCAATCACTATGCGTCAAATGCCGGATTTTTGCTTCTGCGAATGAATAAGATATTCTAACTCATGTCAATCGGTCGAAAATTTTGCCATAGGCATCATTCCACTTTCAGCGATACATATACAATTTTAAAAGAAAGCTCGCTGTATTACTATGATGTATTCACCAGACTGGAACAATGTCTAGCTGATGTATTCACCAGAGTGTGACAGTATCTAGCTGATATATTCACCAGAGTGTGACAGTATCTAGCTGATGTATTCACCAGAGTGTGACAGTTTCTAGCTGATATATTCACCAGTGTGTGACAGTATCTAGCTGATATATTCACCAGAGTGTGACAGTATCTAGCTGATGTATTCACCAGAGTAGGACACTATCTAGCTGATGTATTCACCAGAGTGTGACAGTATCTAGCTGATATATTCACCAGAGTGGGACAGTATCTAGCTGATGTATTCACCAGAGTAGGACACTATCTAGCTGATGTATTCACCAGAGTTGGACAGTATCTAGCTGATGTATTCACCAGAGTGGGACAGTATCTAGCTGATGTATTCACCAGAGTGGGACAGTATCTAGCTGATGTATTCACCAGAGTAGGACAGTATCTAGCTGATGTATTCATCAGAGTGGGACACTATCTAGCTGATGTATTCACCAGAGTGGGACAGTATCTAACTTATGTATTCACCATATCATTACAGTATCTAGCTGATGTATTGTCTAGAGTAGGGCAGTATCAAGGAGATGTATTTAGTACTGTGGGACTGTACCCAACTGATGTTTTCAGTCTCATCTCGAAACCAGCTCTGTAGAGTCATCACTGTTACTCTGTAGCAACATCACTTTAGAGTCATCACTGTCCTTCTGTAATGCCATCATTGTAACCCTGTAGCAACATCACTTTAGAGTCATCACTGTCCTTCTGTAATGCCATCACTGTAAACCTGTAGCAACATCACTTTAGAGTCATCACTGTCCTTCTGTAATATCATCACTGTAACCCTGTAGCAACATCACTTTAGAGTCATCACTGTCCTTCTGTAATGCCATCACTGTAACCCTGTAGCAACATCACTTTAGAGTCATCACTGTCCTTCTGTAATGTCATCACTGTAACCCTGTAGCAACATCACTTTAGAGTCATCACTGTAGCGTTATCACTTGCCTTACTTACTAACAAGACGATGAATAACATCTACAATGTCACGGTGACAACAACAGCTCTAGATGTGTCACGGTGGCACAGCAGCTCTAGATGTGTCACGGTGACAACAACAGCTCTAGATGTGTCACGGTGGCAACAACAGCTCTAGATGTGTCACGGTGGCACCAACAGCTCTGGATGTGTCACGGTAACAACAACAGCTCTAGATGTGTCACGGTGACAACAACAGCTCTAGATGTGTCACGGTGGCACCAGCAGCTCTAGATGTGTCACGGTGACAACAACAGCTCTAGATGTGTCACGGTGACAACAACAGCTCTAGATGTGTCACGGTGGCACCAACAGCTTTAGATGTGTCACGGTAACAACAACAGCTCTAGATGTGTCACGGTAACAACAACAGCTTTAGATGTGTCACGGTAACAACAACAGCTCTAGATGTGTACATTTTGTAAAACCCTATTTGGTTTCTCCCGATGGTGATATTGTTTGTAACTATTCACAGACTCCCTGAATCATGTAGAATGTGACACACTGGTATTGTAAGATCTCCTGTAATGAATGTAGAGGTTGGAGTTGTGTAAACAAACCTTTATTAAACCCACCCGATGCGATACAGAAAGATGAAGGCGACCGTGTTTATGGGAATATTTTCCCAGGGGACATTCAATCAGTATTAGCCAAGTACTACAGAAGCAACGGATTTGATGACAGACAGGTAACTCGGCTCCCTCCGCCAGCCTCGAGATCCAACAACCTCACAGGGTTATTAGTCGTACCAATGAAGTGGCGGTCTATATGATTGACTGTAAGTGTGAACAGCCTCCAGTTATCGCCGGCCTCAGCGGAGACGCCCTGCATGCTTTCAGTAATACATCGGCTCAAATGATTTCCACAGCCGCTCTTCTCCAAAGACGGTGTGCTTCAGCAAAGATCCTAAGAAGGCGGTCGATTATCTCTCAAGAAACACCACATCTCATCTATTTCCTATAATTCTAACTCAGGACGAAGAAAACACCGTGTTTAATCGCTTGTAAAATTACATAGAAAGGGGCTTAGGCATAAGCATGGGCAAAGTACATACGATAACTCTATTCCTTGGAAATTGCTATTGAGCGGCAAGAGCAGCGCGCTCAACCCGCAGCGCCAGTTCGCCCGGTGCAGCAGCGATGTTTAAATAATCACAATAGATTAGCTACGATTGATGACCTTCAGAGCGGCGCAATCTGGATGAATGAACTACAGATAGACAAGTGTTGCATTTACTCTGCCTTGTTACACAACCGGGGAGTGGAACTATACGGTCCTGGCTAAACAGTCTGTTTACCCTTCATTGTGACAACCAACAACGAGCACGCAGGAACCTTACGCAAATGGTAACGTATAGTAACAAACTGGATAAAAACTCTAGGTAAACTGTTTCATTGAAAATCATTGACAATCATTGACAATGATTGAAACCGGTATGGACTAAGCTTCATGTGACTGCAGGCAGTGGTGTTCGTTGACGCACTATAGGCCGCATTATGGAAGCAGTAGATATGGATAATTAACAGCGTCAAGGACGTTTCCTTACATATTACTTCACATCGCGTTTGTCGTGTCTATTATGGACCATAGCATCATAATAAATTAATCAACAGAGCACGATGATTTGCAGTGTTTGACAGAACAAAACAGACCTTCAGTCAGGCCGTAGCATATGTTGACTCACAACATTTCTACACAATATTCAATAGATGTAATGTCAATCATTACATACTGGACAAATATTATACGGTATATATCAAGAATGCGTAAAGGGAAGAATTAATTGTTTTCATGTGTTTTGAGCAAAACTTTTTTTCGTATAGTACTAATATTAGTTCGGTTTCAAAGAGTATATCTTTCACATAAATCCTTACTTCCTTCCATACAACACCAGCAATCATACCACTCCCGGCGTCATTCCATACAACACCATCAATCATACCACACTCAGCGTCCTTCCATAATAAAACATCAAACATACCACTCCCGGCATCCTTCCATACAACACCAGCAATCATACCACTCCCAGCGTCATTCCATACAACACCATCAATCATACCACACTCAGCGTCCTTCCATAAAAAAACATCAATCATACCACTCTCGGCGTCCTTCAATACAACACCAGCAATCATACTACTCCCGGCGTCATTCCATACAACACCAGCAATCATACCACACTCAGCGTCCTTCCATAAAAAAACATCAATCATACCATTCTTGGCATCCTTCCATACAACACCAGCAATCATACCACTCCCGGCGTCCTTCCATACAACACCAGCAATCATACCACTCTCGGCATCCTTCCATACAACATGAGCAATCATACCTCTCCCGGCGTCCTTCCATACAACACCAGCAATCATACCACTCTCGGTGTCCTTCAATACAACACCAGCAATCATACTACTCCCGGCGTCATTCCATACAACACCATCAATCATACCACACTCAGCGTCCTTCCATAAAAAAACATCAATCATACCATTCTCGGCATCCTTCCATACAACACCAGCAATCATACCACTCTCGGCATCCTTCCATACAACATGAGCAATCATACCTCTCCCGGCGTCCTTCCATACAACACCAGCAATCATACCACTCTCGGCATCCTTCCATACAACACCAGCAATCATACCACTCCCGGCGTCCTTCCATACAACACCAGCAATCATACCACTCTCGGCATCCTTCCATACAACACCAGCAATCATACCACTCTCGGCGTCCTTCCATACAACACCAGCAATCATACCTCTCCCGGCATCCTTCCATACAACACCAGCAATCATACCACTCCCGGCGTCCATCCATACAACACCAGCAATAATACCACTCTCGGCATCCTTCCATACAACACCAGCAATCATACCACACCTGGCGTCCATCCATACAACACCAGCAATAATACCACTCTCGGCATCCTTCCATACAACACCAGCAATCATACCACTCTCGGCGTCATTCCATACAACACCAGCAATCATACCACTCCCAGCGTCCTTCCATACAACACCAGCAATCATACCACTCCCGGCGTCATTCCATACAACACCAGCAATCATACCACTCTCGGCGTCCTTCCATACAACACCAGCAATCATACCACTCCCGGCGTCATTCCATACAACACCAGCAATCATACCACTCCCGGCGTCATTCCATACAGCATGAGCAATCATACCTCTCCCGGCGTCATTCCATACAACACCAGCAATCATACCACTCTCGGCGTCATTCCATACAACATGAGCAATCATACCTCTCTCGGCGTCCTTCCATACAACACCAGCAATCATACCACTCTCGGCGTCATTCCATACAACACCAGCGATCATACCACTCTCGGCGTCCTTCCATACAACATGAG